TTAGTCAGGGAGACTATCCCCACAAGCTCTATCAGTAAGCATTCAAGATTACAGATTAGCAGAGCAATGTTAGGAAGCTGGCCTTACTCTCTTCTGACAATCAAAGGTGTTTTTTTTTTTTTTTTCCTTTTTGTAAACTGGAGTATACTGATACAGTTGACATCAAGTTATTAGGCTGAATTGTTAATGTGTTTCTTGCTTATGACACTGCAGTTAAAATGTAGGAAAATATTAACAATGAGATGGAGTTTAAATTATATGTAATGGGGCTAATGGTTAACTAAGCAGTTATTTTTTCCTTCCTCACTGGCAAGGCATTTTGATCCATTCCAAAGTCAAAAACTGGACTGAAGCTAAATTTGTACTTTTCATAATATATTCTGCTTCTGGCTTACCTTCTTGGTACATTGGTATATTAATTGTAAAACTTGTTGTATAGTATTTAACCACTGAATTTCTTAATTTTGTGTTCATGTGAACCCCTTGGTGAAGGTTCCTTTTTCATGAATGTGTAGTTATATGATCTTTTTAAATGTACAGATATTTTGCTATAAAATTGGTGCAGTTTTTTATGGTTTTTACACTTCTCTTTAATTCCTACCTAAGTCTCTGGGTAATACTGTAAATATTGTTTAAAATGCATCAGCCTAGGCTAAACAACCTGAATGTTACTTTAACTTATAGTTTTTAAACATGTATTTAACTACAAAGACAGTTTAGGAAGCAGTTATCACGGTTCACTTTAGTGTACCTATTTACAGGTTACTATTAAACTGCCACCTGCTGGTACATTTCCATAAATGTTTTAAAAAAAACATGCCAAGATTTTTGTTTGTCGAGTCAAAATTCATTTTGATGAAAATAGCAATTTGGCCAAGTATTTAGACCTTAACAGAAAAAGCAGCTGTTTTCAAAAGGTCAAAGCTGTTGTGTATTTAAGAAATTGCCTATTTATTAGTGTATAAACAGACAATAATGTTGGCGTATTCTTATTAACAGCCTTCTTAGCAATATTAGAAATGTTTTATAAAAGCAATTCATGTTACTTCCCTGGTCTTTTCATGCCATACAAGCAAATAAACTATTTACACTACTATTCTGTATTATGTTCATAATCCCTCCATTGTTTTAGTTTTATGTACTTTAAATGATCTCTAGAAACCTATTATGGTGTGCTATTTGAGCTTAAGAATCCACAGTTGGTATATTTTATTTTTCATTATATGATTTTAAAAATTTATTATTGGTAAATTGTGTAGTTCAAGCTGGCCTAGAACACAAGATCCTCCTGCCTCAGTTTTCCATAAGCTGGAGTCACAGGTATGCACCTAGCTCACTGGCAAAACATTTGAAAGGTCTTTTTTCTACAGATTTAGACTATTTTCAAACATGAACTGCACCATTATGTTCAAATGATGATTTAGTTAGATTCAGGGCTGTTATCCTTTTCACTATTGGGGATCCCAACATAAGCTGTGCTAGGGAAATATCTATCATTAAGAACTACCTTGCATTCATCCATTTTTCATGCTCAAAATACTGAAGTTCAGTGCAATGCCTTCCTGTCTTCTGCTGGAAGCAGAACTCAATATCCAATCTGTTTTACTGTTCAATGTGTTGGGTTGTTTTGTTTGTTTCCTGTTACATCCTGTGTGGGGGTGGGGGGATGGTGTTAGGCATGCCATGGTCTGTGTGGGGAGGTCAGGACAAGTTTCAGGAGTCAGTTCACTGTCGACTGTGTGGGCTCCAGGAATCGAAACCAGAACTTCAGGCTTGGTGGCATACACTAGAGGCAGCTTGCCAGGCTAGGACTTTACAATGGCAGATTTTTATACTATTACTCTATTCAGTATTTGATGAAAATAATCTCATTAGTTCTTGTCTTGATTAGAAATACCCATGTTTTTATATCAGCACAGTTCATACTAAAGGATTAACTTTCCATCTTTTTTAACGTTGTCAGCCATCTATTCTCATGAAAAGCTCTGAACAAAGAACAAGAATGACGGACGGTGGTATTATGTATTTTGGAGGTGAACTGTAATTACAAGGAAAGCAGGTGTCCTGATACCAAGAAAGCAGGCTGTGGGCACTTCAACAACTTGTCACAAAGAACTGTGGGTGAGGGATGGGAGGCTTAAGGAAAAACGGTGACACAAATCCAACTTATTTAATAAAATATGCCATTTTTCTATTTACAAAAGATCTAACTTTATATAGCTATGAGGTTCTTTACATCAGGAAAATATATAAACAGAAGTAAAAATCTGGTGATTACAAACATATAAAATAGAATCCTTATTACTCACCTTTCTGAGTAAGTCCTCTGTTCAGTTGTAGAGGAAGGCAAGAAGACTAACAACTACACCAAATGTTTGTAAGCAGGGCCCCAAACCATCAAAACAGCTTATCAGTAACATTTAGATAAATCTAAGAATAATCACAGAACAGTATCAAGAAATGGCTTAGCTTGAATGTGATCCGATCTGCAGTTTGGACAGGTGAGCAGGGGATAGGGACTAGCCTGTTTCTCTGAATGTAAACTTTTAATTGCTATAGGGTAATTACTCCCTAAGATAAATTACATTAAGATGTCCTTGAATTACTGAGGAACTTAGAAGACAACTAATATGGAGGGCTTCACTTTGAAGTTAACAACAATGGTGTAGCTACCATGTTACCATGACTCATCAAGACTCTCTGTACTCGAAAATGGCCTGAAATGTTTTAATCTTAGAAATTTTATGTTCTTATTAAGCTTTTGGGCACTTCTTATAACTTACTAAGTTACAGTCAGATGATTATTGTTAGGTGTATTATGACTGTGGCTTCAGTTCTAAGCTGAATGGTTTATTGCAATGACATCAGTTTAAGCCCTTTAAATGATGATGGGTACTACTGTGTGAGATGAGTACATGCTTCAGCTGATATTTTACATTCATTCCTTAAGTGCCCACTCTGCCAGCACTGTCCTAATTAACAGGGCTATATACATAGTAGTGAATGAAGCACAGAAATTCCAGCTAAGGAATTTACCACTGACACCAGAACCAGTAGAAAACTTAAACCCAAAGAATGACAATGAGAATTATTAGACTCTGGCATACGTCATAAGCATAGTGGGAGAACATACGCCTCTCAACATAGTTCCGTGAAAATCACAGCATCATTTTTGCTTTTCCTTTATGTAAAAAGAGTACAGTTTAGCCTAGAGAAGAAAGCTGGGTTCAACTAAAACCTGTCTGGTACTGAGAGATTCACCAAGGGAAAATACATTTGTACTATTTAAAAAAAATGGAGTTACTCCTCTGGATCCAAGAAAGTGATTGGCTAACCAGCACTTAACTGTTAGTGTTAGCACTGGAGTAAAACAAGGAGCAGTTAGCAAATGTTTCCTAAAGCATATTAAATGAAAACTACTTTGTAGAAAACTGCATATAGATTTTCCAATTACTATTCACTCTGAATGGATTGCCTTACTCTATGAACATCCTTCATTTCACATGTTCAAAAAAATGTAATGGTCCCGTCACATTATTTAAATTCACATGGGAAGACTTCAAATAATCCTCATGCTTAACTGGCTACACTCACTTCTAAATTCAGTTTTCCCCAACATGGAAGTTAGAGGAGAAAATAAGAACATTAGATATCTGAGGTCCTGATTTTGACTGATACTAGTATAAATAGCAAACTTAGCTATTATTGCTACTGAAGGAACATTTTGAGTCTGAGTTTTTACTAAAATATATAAATTTCTCTTGAAAACAAAATGCTTTCCTGTTTGTCATTTGTTTGCTTGTTTTAAAACAAAATTCCTAAAGTCAAAATTCAATACACTGATATAAAACCTCTAAACCAATAGGTTCTCTTAACATTGATCTGTTTAAAGTAACATTTACAAGAACTGGCTTAAAAATTTGTTTAAGTCAAGATAATCATTTATATTTACTGCTATATCTTTGATTTGCATAGGTTAGCTACAAGGCTACTCTATAATGCCTTATAGGGATCTGAAGATGTGAGAAGAAATACAGAAATCTATTTTGAGGACATGCTAAAACATCATCAGCTTTTTATTTAAATATATCAAAACTTTAAAGTTGTACTTTAAAAATCATCATTCATGGAACTGAAGCATATTTTACAGATTCTAAATTCTCTTGTGAAACATCACTAGTATATCTCCCATATGCATGATTTAAAGACCTTTATCTCTGACTTCCGTGTCAGGTGCTTGACCTGATTAGCAATCTTAACTATCATTAAATTGGGACCTCTGAAAATTAGTTCACGGCAATTTTGTTGCCAGAGTTGTTACACATTTTGAGTAACATACAATAGGGGACTAATTGCAAGCAAGCAATCTGATTACTTCACATTTTCTCAAAAATAATCTTTTTTACAAAATCATGTCATATTTCATAACAGAAAATGACACTGCAGTGAAAGGTTTAGAAACAAAATATCCCCTTTGATGCACTTTTAAATAGTGGTCACTAAATTTAATTAAAGAGACTGGGAAGGATGAGAAACAGTTGTAGTGACCTGTCTCACTTTTAAATTCTATTTAAAAGGGCAAGGAACAATTTTGTTGTTCTGAATCTGAACTTGAAACAGACAATGTCAACATGTCTAAATTAAAAGCACAAATATAATGCCTAAGATGATACCAAAAACTAAGTGCTAAAAAAACAAAAAAAACAAAAAAAACCCTCCTGCACTGAAGGAAAATAGTACAAATCACATTACTAACCTTCAAGTTAGCATATAACGAGTATTCTATCTTTAAGCCATTGCCTCTAAAATATTACATAGGAAAGTTATAGGTGAAAAACAAATCTAAGGACCTCAAATGGCACTGATTTATGATGCTCATAAATATTGAAAAAGGAAAGTAATGTAGCTACTGTAAAGCAAAATTTCAGGGATTTATTATCTTGAAAATGATAATACGACTTCTTTAGAGCTAAGCAGTGTTAAGTAGAAATAAATACTAGTACACACTAGAAGAGAAGGTTTAATAATTGATAAAAATGTACAAAAATATTCAAATCAGAAATGCTTTAGAATGTGTACCATGAAGTCAATACTTCTCAGTGAGTAGGGAAGGCAAAAGACCCCCTCAGTGGAATTTAAAAAAGAAAAAAAAAGCGCAAGAGAAAGACTGGATTTAAAAAAAAAAGATAAGACAGCTGTTTAAAGAAATTGTTTTAAGTTAACATTGATTTTTTTTGACAAGGATATTTCAACTATCACTCAAAGGTTGGTGGCACATTCTTTAGTAGGTCCTTAAGGCAATATATTTAAACTCATTTACAATTTGATTTGATGTTAGCCTTTTAAAAACATCACCTCAAAATAGATGCTCAAAATAATGCCCTCATAAGCCTTTTTAAAATGTCTTCAGATGTTTCATAAAAAATAATGGTGGCTTTATTACAGCAGTGCTTATTAGCACCACTACGGTTAAGGGTCTACCAAGTTTCCATCAAAAACACTTATTTCTTAAGAGCTCACCATAAAAGATCACATTGGCTTTAACCTGTTGGGAAGTGCACAAAAAAGCAGTCTTATTGGTTGCTGGTGCTTTTTTTGTACTACATTATCAAAATTCTTTTCATTATCTTCAAAATCCAACTTCTATAAAGTAAATCAAATCACCTCATGACTTAGAACAAAGTAGAGACATCTGCAGTTATCAGTAAATTGCCACCTTTAATCCATCCTGCAGAGCCCTATGAAAGGGACACAGAAAGACAGTTATGACCGTAGGAAAATATGATTCTTGATACAGAATCAAAAGTTATTTTCAATTTCCTTTGCTTTTATAAAGTCCACAATAACAATACTTAAATGCACTTTTTTTTCCTGTGATACAGTTAAAACCCAGTGTTATGTAAATCGAACTTAAAATAGTCCCTGGTCTGAATTAGACTTTAAATCATACTATAAACATATATTTGGTATAATTTATTGATCATCATCCAGTTGTTCCAAAAGGGTTCTTCTGCGCTTTTCTAATTCCCCTTCACTCAGTTCACTGCCAGAAGTGTCCCAATTACCCTGAAAATGACATTGAAAGTAATTAAAGTTAGTATTGTTGAGAAACAATAAACCCATGCAAAAGATTCCAAAATCAATTTCACAATGCAAAACTGATGTTTTCCCCTAAAACCCCCATATGGGTTAAACATGCCTTGGTTGTGCTTAGAATGGGATTTTTATATGGAGCTACTTTAAGTTTTATATTAATATGTAAATCAGGAAAAAATAGCACATGCTCACGTCTATGGTTTTAAAGAACTGAGCATGAAGTAAGTCTTAATGGAAGCTAGGTGCTTACTCCTAGGCGATATGATCTTTGGTAATTTTATACAGATTTAGGTAGTCCTGTAAAACATTAAGTTTTGGGGCTGGAGAGATGGCTCAGCAATTAAGAGCACTGGTGCTCTTGCAGAGGACCCAAGTTTGGTTCACAGCACCCACATGGTGGCTCACAACTGCCCAAAACTCCAGTTCCAGGGGTTGTGACACCCTCTTCTGACCTCCACAGGTAGTGTACAACACAGTTGCATTTATATACAGGCAGGCAACATGCCCACACACATAAAAATAGAATATTTTTAATAGAAAGTTTTATACTGTAGACATTCTGAATCTTATGCTCAAATAAACACACAAGATTTAGACTGAATAAACAACACATCTATGATAAAACTTTTTTTTTTTTCCTTTGAGGGAGTCTGTTTAACCCACTGCTACAGAAGCAATCACTAAGCTACTAGTAAGTGCAGAGGAACTCAATTCACTCTGCATGGAGGATGTGAATCAGACTTGTTCACTGCTTACAGCTTTTGAAAGAACAAAACACTATATATGCCAACTGAATAAAAATATCCAAAGGTGGGACCAGGGCTGTTCTACACAGATCATTCTTTCCACTGAGGATTCATAGGCAATCAACTCTTGGCAAATACTTAATATTACAAAGATTTGGCAAACTTAAGGTTGATGCTCATGTGGTCTGCCATTCTTAGGTAAACATGAGAAATTAAAGACTAATGTAATTTGATATTAAAATAACGAACTTCCTATTCCTTTGTACCCACATTTCTCCACCCATCGATTTTTAGAGTTACTAGAATGCTACCTTTTAAAATTAAGTCTATGAACAATTATAGACACCTAGAGAAATTACGTATATTTTACATTCCTTAGGAAAAAATTGACAGGACTGGAGAGATGGCTCAGCAGTTAAGAACACTGGTTGTTCTTGCAGAATCCCTCCACCCACATGGCAGCTAACAACTGTGACTCCAGTCCCAGGGGATCCGAAAGCCTCTTCTGACCTCTGCAGGCACTGCACGACACAGGTGCACTTACCTACATGCAGGCAATACATGCATACACATAAAAAATAAAAATAAAAATTTAAAAAATAGAAAAAGTGAAAGAAGCTCTGAGGTACTTCTTAGTATATGTAACACCATATCCTTTCTCAGTTGGCTAAAGTCATAGCTATTTTATATTATCATTTATACTTTGAAATTTTTTGATTTGTTAAAAATTTTTGATTTATTTTTAGGTGTATATGAGTGCTTTGCCTAAATAGAAGTGTACTCATGTCATGCAATGCCCATGGAGGCCAGAAGAGGGCAACGGTTCCCCTGGTGGGTCCTGGGAACCAAGCCTGGGTCCTCTTCAAGAGCTACCAGTGCTCTTAAATGCTGAGCTATCCAGCCCTGATTTTTTATTTTATGTGTATGAGTGTTTTACCACATGTATGTCAAATGCCCCATGTACATGTAATGCCCACAGTACCCAGATAAGAGCATCAGATGCCCCCTTGGAACTGTAGTTACAGCTGTTAGCAGCCCATGTGGGTCCTTAGGAACTGAACCTGGACTCTCTGCAGGAGCAAAGTAATTTTTCTAGCCCCATTATTTGTATTTTTAAACAAATATAAATTTAAGATATTACAAATAAATGGTCATGCATGATCACATACACTAGAAAGCTATTGTGATGAACAGCAAACAGAATTTCCTGTTTTCTTCGAAGTTAGCAGGCCTGGGAAAGCCTATACTTTAAACACCATCATGGTTTTAAGTAGAGCATCCTTTTTTGACTTTTGTATATGCAGGCAAGAAACAATTATAAATACTTACAGAATCCTTTCCAGTCTTTTTCTTAGGTGATTTATGTTTTGATTCTGATCTTTGTCTAGTTCTGTCTTTTTCACTTTCCCGGTCTTTTTCTTTTTTATCCTTTTCTCGTTCAGTATCTGATTCTGGGGAGTCCTATGTAAATAAAAGCTAATGTGAACATTTTGATAAAGATACCATTCTGTTAAAAATAAATTCTTTATATAGGTAGTATTTAAGAGTATTATGTGTTAGTTTGTGTGTGTGTAGAATGTTGAGATGTAATTTAAAATGTTAACCTCAGGATTTGACAGAACTTCAAGTTTCATGGGTCAGAGGTGGAACAAGTAGTGTTTCTGATAGGGAGGATGACATTCTGATATTTAAAACACCAATAAAAGAGCCTCACTACCATTTTAGATAAGTTACATCTATTGTGTAGTTACAGACAGATATTACTTATGTTTTAGTCATGCTGGGATTGAATACAGGGCCCAATGCTTACTTAAGTATACACTACATTGAAGTGTACTGTGCTCACATTTTCCATTAACAAATATATTAGTTTATTGGATCTGTGTAAGGATGCTGCTCACATAATCCCATTAAAGGCTGACAGATGCAGAATACAACTTTTTTCCTCAAAATTATTACTGAGAAAAGTTATTTAAAATACTTTAGTGTGCTGGAGAGATTGCTCATTGATTAAGAGCACTGGCTGCTCTGGCAGAAGACCTAGGTTTAGTTTCCAGGCTGGAGTTATGGCAGCCATAACTCCAGCTGTGGCCATACATGCACTTACATACATGCTGGTAAAATTCTCATACATGCTGGTAAAATTCTCATATGCATAAAAAATGAAAATCAATTTTTAAAAGTTCAAAAAAAAGATTTTTAGTACTTGAAATAAGTGGTTCTAGGTTATATACACTCAAATTTAAGTCAGGAGCACGAAAATAAACTCCAGTTCACCATGTCTTTGGTGAGATTCCAGCACTAATACTTTCAGAAAGCTCCTAAGCCTAATGCATATCTAACAACAGAAAAGTGGTTGTTCAAATGTGTTCATTTGTGATTTTTATCTGCTCCCAACCCCTTCCTCTTAAAAGACTTGATTTTAACGACCAGGGTTGAGAATTCCAACACTAGTATATGTATCTGTCTGAAGCTCCCCAAATGATTTTAATGAAAATTACAGGGAAGCACAGCTGTACATTCTCTATTTAGGTGCCCACCCAAATGACTATACAGAAATAAATTATGAGAAGGTTCTATGATCACTGAGAAATCTATGGTTAAAAGCCTTGGCGAAGTGTAAAACTTAGAAACTCTCTTACAGATTTATGTCTCCTCTTCTTGCTTTTCTTCTTATGCTTTTTTGATTTCTTATAACTTCTCTCTGAGCATAGAAAGAAAAGTGTCAGAATACAAGGAAATCAAAGTGTTGCTGTGTAATCAAGTAACAGAAATGCTCACCAGACTCAGCACTAGAAGAATGTTCTGAAGCTGAACGGGACTCTGATCGTTGCCTTTTTTTCTTTGAATGGCTGTCATCATCATCTGAATCTGATCCCTAAACAACATACATAAGTTCATTTATAAGGATTCTACCAATGTTTTAGTATACTGTGCCAGCCAATAAATCTTCTTACCGATCGAGACCGGGAACGTTTCCTATGGTGTTTTTTAGACTTTTTAGAATGCTTCTTGTTCTTTGAATGATGATGTTGACATTCATGCTAGAGAGGAAAAAGAAAATTTCAAGAATTATATTTGCTTTACATAGCCAATCTTAAAGAAACTGTTAAAAATTAAACCCATGAGTTCTTAATTAAAATACTATCTTGTTTACGACAGAATCCCTAGTGATAATGCAAATAATCATTATTTAAATGTTCATCTGTTCTCATTTATACTACACCTACTCATTTAGATATCTAAATAAAATCTTATAAAGTTTATAAAATAAAGTACTTACTATCTGTCAAAATGAGAAAGGCCTAACAGTCTACAGCTGCTTTTGATACCAATGAAATATAATACATTTAGTTTTCCTCACTATCTGATTTTCCTCACTATCTGGCTGGCTTTGGTTGGCAAACTAGGCCCTACACAGAGATAAAAAAAAAAAAAACTTCAAAATCATCCTTAAACTGAGATTTGCAAAACATACTCCTCTTTCTTACATTTCTTTCTTATTCAAATGGGGCATCCTTACTTTCTGTAAAACAATTTATCAGGGAGACCAGCAAGATGGCTCAGTGAGTCAAGGTCCATGCTAATAAACCTTATGACCTGACTTCTATCCCCAGGATCCACATGGTGGTGGGTGACTGTCTTCCACAAGCTATCTTCCGATCTCAGAGAATTAACCAGACTAGTTGAAGAGGGGAAGTACTACAGTAAAGATCCCTTCTCCTATTGTTTATACCCATCTGAAAATTCACTCCATTGGTTACATAGAGATGGAAAATCTGGGTCAAAGGGGACTGTTATAATTTACCAAAACTGACAATCTGAAAGCTCTAGCCTTTATGTTATCTAGCTCCATTTAAGACCATAGTACATAATCTCTAGCTCAAACCATGAAGAACAAGTGGCTGGAGATTATCTGGGGTGGGGGCCTGCATGTGAGTGTGAGGATGTGCATACCTATATCAAGGCCAGGCAAAGACATCTTTTGTCTTCTATTGGTCTTTATTCCCTTGATACAGGGTCTCTCACTGAATCAGAAGTTCACTGTTTTGGCTAGGTTGGCTGGTGAGCTCCCAGGATATGCCTGTGTCTATCCCTCCAGTGCTAGAGTTACATGCACATGCAGTCAAGTTTGGCTAAAAGATTTTTATGTGGGTGCTGTAGATTCAAACTCAAGTTCTCATGCTTTCATAGCAAGAACTCTTAACCCAGTAAACTATCTCCTCAGCCCCTAGAGATTGTTGAATTAGTAAAACTATCACACATCACTTCAAAATTCAAAATACAAATGCTTGGGAATCTGGTTATTTACTCATTTACCAATATCCTAATATAGGATTTCTGTGGGTTGGCCCCGAGACTTTACATTCCTATGAAGCTCATAGGTACTAAAGAGTTAAAGGCTAAAAAAGACCAGGCAGAGGCAGCAGGGAAATAATGTTAAGTTCATGGTAACAGAGAAAACCTGTTACACTGATACTAATAAATCCCAAAGAAAGAGTGAATAATAATATGACCCCTGTGCCCAACTACCATGCCAGCACTACAATAAATATGTTCTATCTTTTGGCTTTTTATAAAATATTAGCTGTGCAGAACTGACTCCATAGAGAGGTTTTTTTTTGGTCTTTTTGAGACAGGGTCTCCCTCTTGGAGCCCCAGCTGTCCTGGAACTATGTAGACCAGGCTGGCCTTGAACTCAACGCACAGAGATACGCCTGCCTCTGCCTCCCAAGTGCTGGATTAAAGGTGTGCGCCACCATGCCTGGCCCGAGAGTATTTTTTTAAATGTAAGGGGTGCATGTGCATTCACATGAGTGTGGATACAAGTGTGTATGTATGAATGTGGAGGCCAACAGATGACATTAACTGCTCTCTGCCTTATACTAAGGTAGGGTCTCTCACCTGAACTCAGAGCTGGTAGATTCCATTACTATAGCTAGCCATACTATACTGTTCAGGGGATCCTGTCTCCAAGACCTCCTAAGAGTAGGAATTAAAGCAGGCTACCACATCCTTCCTGCATTTACGTAGTATTGGGGATCCGAGAGCTCCAGTCTCACGCTTGCAGAGCAAGGGAATTTACCTACTGAACCATCTCTCTAGCTGTCCATCATGAGGTTTTTAAAATCATTGATCTTAGAGTTAAATAGCATAGGCCAGAAATCCCTTCCCAGCAAGTTACTTCACTTGTCACAATTTGCTTATCTGCCATAGGTTTGTTGTGAAGATTTAGTTCATACATCACATGTAATCTATGTAAAAGAATTAGCCCATACAGATAACAGGAATTAATAATTACTGATCAACCCAGCCTAATATGTAAGTGCCTACTCTGAAGCCTAAGTCAAAATACTCTTACTCAACTAACAGAGCAACATGAGATTATTTTTTCATTAGTACTTTACCCAAAACTTAATTTATTCTATTATTTTTCAGAAACCCTCAGGGCTTTCTACATACCTACGAGAAAAAAAAAAAAAAAAAAAAAGCTGGGCCTTTAATTACAGCACACTTGGGAGGAGGAAGCAGGAGGATCTAAGATACTTTTAGGCTTCACAGTAAATTTCTGTGGCTGACAAATAACTGAATTTTGACAATCATGAAACAAACACAAAGTCTCTACACTAGTACTAATATCCCATGCAAACTCGTAGCTTTCTTCACTTAGAACAGTTCTACAGAAAGAAAACATTCCTTGATACAGTTATACAAAGCAGTAAATATTAGGAAATATACTTGGGTCATTTTAAATTCATTTTTTAACCTTTTATATTACAACAAAGAATTACCTCTAGAACATGCATAAAATCTTTAAATATTCTTTTTCTTTCAGACTCTAGAGTTATGTCCTCAAATGCTGGCTCCTTTACAAATCTCTCCCGAATCTGAAAAATAAAGATGCAGAATGAATATACGAATGCCAAGAAAACTATAGTATTGTGCATAAAAGAACTCCTGTCAGTAGATGTAAACGTTGATAAACCCATCACCTTAGAGTGCATTTTTTTCTTCTTTCAATAGTTCAAACTATTTTGTAAATTTATTTTTATTTTATGTATGTGAGAGTTTTCTGTGCACCTGTGTGTGGAATGCCTGCGGAGGCCAGAAGAGGGCAGACTGGCTCCTGGAATTGAGGTTATGGACAGTTGTTAGCTGCCATATGGGTGCTGGGAATCAAACTCAGGTTCTCTACAAGAACCACTGAACCACCTCTTCAGCCCCAGCTCAAACCATTCTAAACAAATGACTCCTAAATCCAAGTCACAGCTGATTTAATACTTTTGATATATTACAAATATGGTATATCCCAGAAATAATTTTAGCTTTCTTGTGGCTGTAATATGGAAAACAGATTAATATTTTTATTTCCAACTGTGAAACACAGTTCATTATGGAGAATTTACAAGTATACATACATCTTCCCAGACAGCATCCAACTCTATTGGAGGAGTAGCTTGTTTCAACATACTCTTAAATGCAGATTCTTTTCGTTTCATCTTTCGGGCTTCTTCTTTTTCTCTTTCACGTTCACGGGCTTCCGCCTTTTCTAGTAACTATTAGAAAATCCTATTCAGTAAGTTATAATAGTGTAACTCCTGATAATTCAAATAATTCATTGTTCTCAATTTAGACAGTCTCACATCATTTGAAAGGGCTCTATTATCTAAAACATTTATTAACCAGAGCAAGGAAAGGTTAACACACTCCAATATCTAAATACATTATTTTGTTTTTCCTTGTAAATCTTATTCACAGTCCTTTATCACATTAGTTCAAAACTTTGATTAAGCTAGTTATATGTTAATTAAACTTACACTATTGAAAGCCAACTTGATATTTCCGGCATCCAAAGTAGTCGATCTTTTGGTTGAACTTATTATTGCCACAAAATCTTCAAAAGTAGTGTTTACTTCAACTACAAATCCTTTATCCTAAATTGCAGAAATCTTGTTATAAATTAACATATAAATCCAGGAATGAAGCAACATTTTCTTAAAACAGGTTAACAGGTGAAAATAAATCTTTACCTTTAGGATGTCTTTTATTATCTTTTTTTCATCATGATAACGTGCTTTAAGATCCTCAACATAAAACTTGAAAAGATCAAGTGCAGTTGATCCTAATGAAAAAACTAAAGAAGTCAAAAGCTAGCTCTAACTAAGAGCTGCAATTACTTTTTTGTCTGTAAAACAAACATAAAATAAAGCATATCTTCCCTTCTCCAACCACCTTCCTTCCCACCTTGGTCCATTCCAACTACTATATTAAGTTTGTAAAGAAAATAATCTCACCAGGCTGACCAAGCATGTTAGTGAATCTAATGTCAGAACTAATAGTTGGATACAATTCCATCCAAGATGACATAGAATGCAGCTGTCCATGTTCATGTAATTCATCTAAAAATATCTGCAGGGAAGAAAACATCATGTTTGAAAAAATAATATAAGTACAATAGAGAAAAACATACTAAAAACTGTTAGCAATAGCTAAACTTCTTCTAACACTTATCCAATATTTAAGTACAAAAATGTTTTGCTATTTGATGGAAATTAGTTTTTAGACCACAAATAAATGAATATAAATAAATCTTTCAAAGAAAAGGAACTTTCAAATACTTTATCTTTCCAGCCTTCAGTTGTTTGTCTCAAGATAGAATACCACTTCTAGTAAAACAAAACTCAAAAATACGCCTAAAATATTGAGTATGTAACTATACATAAAAGATAATCCTAAGTACTAGATATTATCCATAATCAAATGATGAAACTGAAGAATTCCTAATGCATGTTTACTATAAAATATAGTTTTTGTTTCTATGGTATCTAGCATTCTTTAGATAGTCTACATAGCTAGTTCCAGACTAGCCAGAAACCCTCTCAAGAACAAACAAACAAACCAAATGATAGTGTTTTCCTAAAGCATTTAGGAAAACTGGGATTAAAAAACCCTTCTCTCTCTGGAGATGGCTCAGCGGTTAAGAACACCGACTGCTCTTGCAGAGGACCCGGGTTCGATTCCCAGCACCTGCATGGCAGCTACGAACAGTCCTTAACTCCAGTTCCAGGGGAATCCAAAGCCCTCTTCTGACCTCTGAGGCACTGGAGGACATGGGTGCACTCACATACACAGGCAATACACTCATACACATAAAATAAAAATAATAAAGCCGGGCATGGTGGCGCACGCCTGTAGTCCCAGCACTTGGGAGGGAGAGGCAGGTGGAGCTCTGTGAGTTCAAGGCCAGCCTGGTCTACATAGTGAGTTCTAGGCCAGCTGGGGTTATAAGGAAACGCTGTTTCAAAAAGACCAAAAAATAAATAAATAAAAATAATAAATATTTGAAAAAAAAAAAAACCTTCTCTCAAAACTATTTCCTTTCCTTCACATATTTATATGACTTAAATCTAAACCATATCTGAGAAATTGACTTATTCTACTCTCTCTCCACTTTCCTCCTGCTGACTTTCAGGACTACACACTGGTACTTCAGTACCATCAATGTCTTATTAGGTCCTCTTCCCCTAGCCCTGAGTTGCTATGGAAACCATGACTTTAAAATTCTATACCCACAATTCCTGGACCTGTACTGTTCAATTAAGAGCCACTGATGAGGAGCTAAAGAGATGGCTCAGAAGTTAAGAGAACTGGCTACTCTTGTGGAAGACCAGGATTTGAATCCCAGCACCCACATGGCAGCTAGCAACCATCTATAACTCCACTTCTATGGGATCCAACACCCTTTTCTGTCCTCTGCAGGCACAGCACAACACAGGTGCATTTACATATACGTAGGAATAATATACATGCACATGAAATTAAAATAAAAATTTTTTAAAAGAGCCGCTGATGAAGAATACTTATTGAACACACAATATAAAATGAAGATTAGTAACTAAGATTTGAGTGTCTCCCGAGTTTTCAATAGCACTGATTACATGTTTAGATAATATCTTTTAGTATTTTTATTATTTTTATGTGTATGAGTATATTGCCAGCATATACAAGTACACCTGCATTGTGTAATGCCTATGGAGATCAGAAGAAAGCATTGGATTCCTCTGGAACTGGAGTTAGAGATGCTTGTTAGCCAGCATATAGGTGCTGGGAATCAAACCTGAGTCCTTTGCAAGAACAGCCCGTGCTCTTAACTGCCGAGTCATCTTTCCAGTCCCTCAGACAACATTTTTTGAATGCTGGGTTAACTATAGTAATAAACTTACAACTGGAAAATTGAAACTGCATCCATATCATACATATTGTTACTCTATAGCACTGTCCTAGTGTAGTATTAGGGACCAACAACTCCATCCCTCTTCAAACAAAAAGCATGTTTAGACAGCCTCACTATTCTGACATTCTTCTCAAACCCCCTTTGTTCCTACCATTCAAATGTAAAACAGATCTTGACTTAACTCATGCTACTTATGTGGTCACTATGTTCCCTCTATTGCTCCCCATTTTAAATAGCTTAGAAACAACCTCCAGGGATGTTCTACAGGATTTATAATTTACCCCATTCTATTATGTTTCTTTCACTTCCAAGTTGTGAGATCTGATGAAATCATAGGATTTTTGAGACTGACTATTTTAATAGTGGGCCTCTAATCTGGATGAAAACTGCCACCTTAGACTGTTCGCTTGTCTTTTTATTTTAAACATTTTTATTTTATGTATGTGAGTGTATTGCCTACATGTGTGTAAGTGCACTCCTGTCGTGAAATCACCATGGAGGTTAGAAGAGGCCATCAGGTGCCCCAGAACTGGAGTTATGGATGGTTGTTAACTGCCATTTGGGTGTGGGAACTGAACCTGGGTCCTCTGCAGAGCAGCAAGTGCTCTTAACCATTGAGCCATCTCTCCATCTGCTTGTTTTTTTAAAGCAGTATGAGCTAGCTAATATTGGAGTATTTTTATTTTGGTCTTTTTGAGACAGGGTTTCCCTGTAGCCCCAGCTGGCCTGGAACTCACGATGTAGACCGGGCTTGCCTCGAACTCACAGAGATCTACCTGCCTCTGCCTCCCAAGTGCTGGGATTAAAGGCATGCGCCACCATGCCCGGCCACCAAATAGTTGCCATGAATTCAACTTTGGAAAACACTTTAAGATGGCTGAGCCTTGTACTCACAGGAGTTTTCAACCTTGGGATTAATGACATCTTAGGTCACCTAATTAACTCTCGCTATTTTTACTATTTTGGGTGGTGATAGTGGTTTATAAATTCTAAAATGTTTAGCAGTATCCCTGCCCTGTTCTCTATGCACTAAATGTTATATTACCTTTCCCTCAAATAGTGATAATCTACAAATACTAATTATTAGAAATTAAAGAATTCAATGTATATGGATCCTCTAGAAAGCCTACACAAAAGACTTGGGAATAGAAATTTCAGAACTGTTTCTATTGTTTAAGCTCAGTGACCACATTATAAAACTGTATGAGGAGACCTTTTTATTACCTGAAAAGATTCCCTATTTTTACGCTGTCGTCTTCTTTCTCTCAACAGAGTCTTCTGTTTCTCTTCTTCTTCTTCCTTTTCTAAAGCCCGAATGTGTTCCTCAAAGCATATTAATGCATCCTCTTTATCCATATCTAAAGTATTTTTCAGATAAAAATAGAAATAAATTTCAAGGATAAATGAGGAAGGTAATTTAGTTATTTGAATTAACTCCTTATAAATTTCAAATCATGGTTAAAAATACTTGTATTTGAACTCAAACATGATTTTGGAATCAACACAACAGGAAAGTTTTAAGAAAAACTTCAAAGACTACAAAGGATAGAGGGGAAAAAAACATGAATATGAAAAAAATTAATGAAAATAAAATTGCCATAAATGCAGTGTAATGCTTACCTAAAGGAGCTTTTTAAAGCAGTCATGTGTCGGAGTGTGTGTGTGTGTGTGTGTGTGTGTGTGTGTGTGTGTGTATGTTTATCCATATATATCCTTAAATGAACTGAGCCAGCTCCAGCACCACTAGGGAATATAACCTTATGGAAGTACCAGGTGTGGGTCCATTGATAACCAAAACATCAATAATGACAAAGTTCTACAGATTACCAACAAACCCAGTGAAGCATGAGTTCCAGAGTAATATGGATGAAGAAAACTATAACTTTTTCTTTTTTTGGTCTTTTAGAGACAGGGTCTCCCTGTAGCCCCAGCTTGCCTGTAACTTAAGAGATCCACCTGCTTTTGTCTTCCTAGTGCTGGGATTAAAGACTTGCACCACCATGTCCAATTTAAGACAACTATAATTTAAAAAGCAACATTGGTAAGTCACAAAAAGTAACTGAAGCCTAAGATAATTCTGATACTTTTACTTTCTTGAAAGTTACAACACTAGAGATGGAAGAGTGTAGCACAGTGGTCAGACTCTTGCCTAGCATGCTTGAAGCCCTGGGCAGGTTTCCCTAGAACCATATACATAAAAAGGTTTTCACTATGTCAACTTCTTAGCATAAATAAATTTGGTAATTCAGATATAAATAGCAAATGATCTATAAATGGTTAGGCACAATTTAAAGTCTGACTCATTACATGTTTTAAGAACTATCTGTCAAAGGTAATTTGACTTCCTAGGAAAATTTTCCTGAACTCAAAATTCAATTAGAAAGAACCCATCTAAAAATAAAGCTTTTTTTTACAGAAATAGAAAAAATCCCTCTATAAAACTAAGTTAGTGATCCATAAAAAGTCAGATTAGTTTTTCTAATTAGCTTTTCTTTTTTAGTAATTATTCTTACTCTGTAGCTCCTCATCTTCTGCAAAAGTTGGATTATCCATCAGATACTGCTGGGCTTCAGACCAAGTAGTAGAGTAGGTTACATTAGCCATATTGTCAAGTATATTTTTTAAGGCTTCCCAATTTCTCTTTCGTAGCTGCTTTGCTTGTTCCTACGACAAAAGTATGAATGTATCCTTTTAAAGTTCAAACAAAATATGCAAATTGACATTAGTGAAAATTCCTTTATATTCTAGCCAACAAATTTCAAATGGTATACATGTGCTTTTAGTATCAACACCCTTCATTTTCCTAGTGCTCTTGCCTAATGCTCTGGCTTAGTCCTTATCCTGAGTTTTTTCAGCTCTCCTCAATGTCAGAATCTATTTGGAAACGATCCTTTTGTTTTTCCATCTTCATTCCATAAACCTGTTTCCTTATCAATATATAGTACAAACATAGTCTCTAATGAGGATTACTAGGCATAAGTAAACACTAAAGTCTTCATTGACATTCAACTACATTCAAAATTTTAATAATAATTGCATTATCATATATATTCTTTCAGGACTAGATACTATACAATTTAATAGCTATCAATAGTTGCTAAATCAGTACCTACTATGATTAAAATAGTTATTATTATGCTGGACAAAGAAGAAAAAAAGCTTACTATAGGAGCTACCCATTGTATTTTTAACCTAGCTTCTGATAAATAGACCTGGTGCACAACATAAACTACATAAGCAAAAAAACTGGTGCGTTATAAATTCTTATTATAAAATAAGGAAATACTTTGTCTAAAAACACTATTAACTTAGAATAAAAAAAAAGGTAAGTACCTTTTCTTTTTTTGACAAGAAGAACAAAACATCTTCATAGATTTCAAGACGATCACGTTCTGATATTGCATTCCAAACTTCCATCTCTCCAAACATTTGCTCTGCTTTTCTAGTCATTAGGAAATCAAACGTTCTTGTTTACTATGACATTAAATTTTTATATCATTTTTAAAACGTAATTGTGACTACTCTTTCTGCTCCAAGTTCAGAAATGTATTATGAAGACATTAACACAATAGCAAGGCCTCCACTTCTTTTCTTGATGGAATAATTCACATTGGATACTGTTTGATAGTCTAAATAAACTATTCTTTAGGGTAGCTTCTAGAGACTATGAAACTGCCTATAGTTAACTATATTACAGTTATTACATGAAGCATTACAACATAAGAGTCCTTCAGTGAATTAGCCTAATTAATTTCAAAATTTAAAAGTGAATTAGCCCCAACTTAAAAAATTTTTAAATTGACTTTTATGTTTGAGTGTTTTGCCTACATGTACCAGTGCTCTTAACTGCCTACAGGTACTAGTGCTCTTAACTGCTGAGCCATCTCTCCACCCCTAACCCCTATCTTAAACCACTCTGAATCTGAGAATTGCAAATAAATGTAATTTTTCAAAACATGATACATACTTATAACCCCTAATACAAGTGAGTCTACAAACTAAATAAAAATACTGATTATTTTTTGTACCTCATAAAATTGCCACACCCAGAGTTGTACAGCTTTATTTTGTTATCTATTAGCAAAAGTACAAAAGCAACAATAGGGAAAACATGCTCTACGAGTCATCAAAAACCTTACTTGTATCTGGTTGTGGAAGTCATTTTCTCATGATTTTCAAGAAAACGTTGAAAGGATTCCTTAGCTTCTTTATATTTTGATCTTGCTTCTTCTTTTTCTTCTTTCTCTGTCTGGACTTTATAGGCATTAAAGGCTTGCTTTTTCTCACTCAACTTTGCTAAAGCACTAAATAATAGAAAAACATCATGTAAGAGTTAACATCAAGCCAAGAGAATCAAATGTTAGTACTTTGAAAAAAACACATTTGATACATATATTAAGAAAATTTCTATTGAAGAATTGACTCTAAAAGTGATTTCTAGTTCTTAATTCTAATTTCATTTGTGGCAGTGATCAAACTTTCTGTGTATTTGGGTTATATCACAATAAATGCCTCTATTTTTGGTAATTGTTTATAAAGTTATACCAATTTACAAAAATTTTAATGTGGCAGGGTTAAAGTAAATTAAAAAACAGCAGTATTACCTGTATCTTGGATCATTAATGATCATTTTCATAGCTTGCTCCCAAGAAGCATTGGAGGGTACCCGCTGAAAATAATTATATGAAAAATTAAAATTTCACACAAGAATAGAAAAAGTGGTATTACAGGAAACTAAGTATAATACTCACTGCAAATATCAAGACTTCCCTTTGCAGGAGTTTGAAAAAAATGTCTAAAACAGTTTTTATTGAAGCAAATCTGTGATACACCTATTGACTGAAAAGAAAACTCAAACTGAAATTTAAACAATATTTTTTTGACTACTGATTAAAAGCAATTATTTTAAATTTAAAAATATATATCAAGGCAAAATATACTTATGAAATACCTTGTTGAAAGGTTCACAAAAGTATTCTTCAATAAAAACAAAACAAATTTAGTTTATTTTCAGTTATGATAGTTCAAGTGATTAGTATTTTAAATAAAGGCACCAAAGTGAACATTAGGCAACTACTACATGTAATATAAAAATCTATACCTTTTCTTTCAATAATTCTTTAAATGCTTGTTTTGCCTCCTCCTTTGTATTCCATGTATATGTTTTTTTTGCTGGTTGGCTGTCTTCCTCTTCTTTTTTAGGAGTAAAACTAGAGAGAGAAATTTAAAGATGCTATGCATAACCAGTATTTTCTGCTTAGAACGACACTGCATTGCATTAATTGTACTGAGTAGTTTCACTTGTCTACAGGTTAATAATTGTAAGTTTACTCAGAGTATATTAGTGTCTTAATAACCCTGACATTTTAGTACATGTACATAAAAAAGGGAAGTAGTGATTAATCTAAATGATTGGTTAACAAAATCCTTCTCACTGTTAAACACAGCACTAATAGAACACAGCTATGCTACTTTGTACATATTTATTTTTAAGATTTTCTTTTCAATTGTGTGTATATATGTATGCCAGTGAGTGGGTATCAACACATGGGTGCAGGTGCCTAGAGGCTAGAGCTGTTGGATTTCACAGGAGCCAGAGTTACAGGTAGTTGTGAGCAGCTCCATGGTTGCTGGGAATTGAGCTCGGGGTTCTCGGGAAAAGCAACAATCCTTTTACACTGCATGAGCATCTCTCTAGTTCCTATCCATATATTATTTATAATTGATTGTAGACTACTACAGGAATGTGCTGAGTCACTCTAACAGAACCGTGTTCCATTGAAGACTGCAAATATTTATTTGGCATTTCATGAAAAAAATTCCTGAACACTGATCTCAAAAAGAAGAAAAATAATCTGCAATTATCAATTATTTGAATTAAAAAATTTATTTCTACATAAAAATGGAAGTGAGCCGGGCGAGTGTCGCACGCCTTTAATCCCAGCACTTGGGAGGCAGATGGATCTCTGTGAGTTCAAGGCCAACCTGGTCTACGTAGTGAGTTCCAGGCCAGCTGGGGCTGCAGAGACCCTGTCTCAAAGACAAACAACAAAAAAAAAGTGACACTGTATATACATCCCATTTTCTGAATTAAGTGTTCTTTCATATGGAGATTTACTTAATTAAAACCATTTAAAAATTATGACTCATGTATTATATTAGAATGCTGCAAAGAAAAAACAAACTTGATACAATTGTGGAAAGTAAAATACTCTTGACCTTCTGCATTAATTCAACCAACAGAATTAAAAGAATCATGTAAAAATGGTAATTGTGATGAATATTTGTCATTATTAAAGAAAGACTGTGTAACAAATAATATTAAAAATAACAAGAGATGTATGAGGATATGCACAAGATTACATGAATACGCCACCAAGTTACATGAGGTATTTTTAACATCTGGAGATTTTTGGAACTCAAAAAAACTTGTAAGTAAAAGAATGCAGAATAATAATAATAATATTCCAAAAAGCCAAAATTATAACATGCCATCATTTCAAATGGAGGACCTTTATCAAGGTGGAAGATATCTCTGATACATTATACAATAATTAAATACAAGTGAAAAGATTTAGTGCATAGCAAAGGTCAGAAAGACCTAAAGAAAATGTTAACTTCCCTTTTTCTTGCCTCGACACATACCACTTAATTTTTTTAAACTTTTTCTTTTTGATACAGGGTCTCACTATGTAAACCAGACTGACCTCAAACTCAGAGATTCTCCTGCCTCAGCCTCCTGGTCCTCTTTTTAATCTTCTAAATATATATATTATAATATATATAAGCTATTTTCACTTTACAAAAGTAACATGAGAGAAACAAAAGAACATTTAGACTAAGGGGTAGAAAGATGAAGATAATAGGGTTTGGATTAGATTGTAGTTATCCATTTATACCTTTTTGTGTATTTGGCTCATATGGTAGAAAAAGAATCACAGTATTATTTTCATTTCATATTTATTATGTTAGTGCCTTTACATGATTTCTTAACAACTATATTTATGTGTGAGGCACTTTTTCACAAAGCTGTTTATATTTTTCAAAAGTTTATTTGCCATAAATTGAAAATCAAAGAATAAAAATAACCAAAGAAATAAAACAAGTTTAGTACTTCTCTGTTTGGCAGGGTTGCCCACCTTCTAAAATGCATCTTTCTGCTACAGCAATCTATTATAGCTTCCTATGCTGTACTGTGTCATAATGAAGCAAAACACAAAATAAAGGATAAAAAAAAAAACAAAAAACAATGAAACCAAGCCTTTATTTAAAATACTGGTGTTTTGTTAATTGATTCTTTTTTTTTGCCTCGATTTTGATATCAAATAGTGCATTCAAAAGTACCATGCATTCCTTTAAATTTGTGCCTCACCCTACCCAGTGTGCTAAGAGCTAAGACTACAATTTCAGTAGACTACTTTCAGAAGGTTGGTGGCATGACATGACACCCCCCAAAGTCAGCTTCAAAACTTATCAACTATAGAAAAAGTTAAATTTTGATTCTGAAAAAATGTTTTTCCTTAAACACTTAAGGACCATGAATAAACTAGCAAGTTCTTATATTAAGTCCAACATTTATTTTCAGAAGACAAGTTACTAAACTTACTCAGCTACAGTTTCTTGCTTTGATGTTTCCTCTCCAGTATTACTGGAAAGGTCAACATTTAGATCTTGAATAGCTGTGGTATTAGTAAGTTGTGCTTGTTCCTCAGTTGACAGCGTTACTGTACTTTCATTATCTACAACAGTAGCAACAATAGAAGTAACTTCAGGCTCAGGAACAACTGGAACAGCTCCCACAGTATTAGCAGATGTGGTAGAAGCATTGGCTGCGGCTGCGGCAGCTGCAGCAGCTGCGGCTGCTGCAACAACAGCGGCAGCTGCTTCTGCAGCAGCCATGGTGCTCATAGTGGTGGGAATTTCTGTTGTAGGAACTGGGGCTGTTGATGTTGTGGTACATTCTTCTTGCTTGCTATAGATTAAAAAGAGAGAGACAGAAAGGGAAAGAAAAACAGAGAAAACTAGTCATTTCAGCGCTATAATTTCAAAGCTAAATAAAGCCTATTTTAAAATCAGAACATTAACAATTGAAGGCCTAAACAAATCTAGTGACGGTAAGCCAAAAAGCCATCCAACAAGATTAAAGTCATAAAATGAATTCATATCTGTCCTCCACCGGGCACTGCACAACATGGGTGCACTTACCTACATGCAGGCAATACACACATACACATAAAATAAAAATAATATTTTTTAAAAAAAGATTTAATTTTTTTGTTTGTGTGTATGAGTATTGCCTGCTATGTAAGTGCACCCATATCATGTAATGCCCACAGAGGCCAGAAGAGGGCACTGGATCCCTTGGAACTAGAGTTATGGAGAGTTTTAAGCCACCATGTGGGTGCTGGGAACTGAATCCTCTGAAAGAGCAATCAGTGTTCTTAAGGTTTGAAGTAGATTATAGTTAATTGCTGAGTCACCTCTCTAGTCCCAGTTTGTTTGTTTTAGAGAGCGTCTTGCCATGATGCCCAACTTTGCCTCAAACTGATGGGGCTCAAGCACACCGTGGAGCTGAACTACCACATGCATCACTCCCAGCTTTAATCAGTATTAACTTGAGCAAACATTCACAATTAACATGTAATAAGCAATAATGTAAGCACCTGCGTTTCCAAAAGTCCAATAATTGTTTTAGAAAAATCTTAAATCTATTCTTGTGTATTATACCGTATCTGACATATGTCATAAATTTCCATGAGAACTTTAAATCTCCATTATAAGGAAACTTTGTGAGCTGGGGTTGTGTAGCTAAATGATAGGGTGCCAGCACACACAAAGTCTTTGGTTTGATGCTGAAGACCTCAGAAAAGGAATTTAGTACAATGGAGGAGATACACAGTTCTAGTATTTCACCCATTCCCAAACTGGCAAAACTTAACTCATGAAAGATGCAGTCCACAGTAAAGTACTTGCTTGTCTAACAAAACAAACACTTGAGTTAATACCCTACCCTTCTAATTTTCCCCTGCAAAATCTTCCAAAGACATCAAACTATCAGCCTAAACAAGTTAAATAGAATGTTAAATGGACAACTAAAACAAAAATGCCATAGAACAGAATAAATTTGTAAAATATATTGATTTTCAAAATTATTTACCTGCTTTCTTCAGCTTTTATCATGGCTATTAAAGAGAATACAAAAAAGTCAGACTAGTTTTCAAATATAATCACTGAAAAAAAATTTACAAGGAGACACAGAAAAGTACCATATCATAGGATTTAATTTACCATCTGAAAAAAATTTTTAAAATTCACTTTCAAAGAGCAAACGCTCTAGTTTCAAAGCCACAATATAATAACAAAAACAAATTTTAAACAGCAATTATTAGGAAATCTTTTCCCATGCTGCTGTTTCCAAAGGCTACTGGCCTTGTTAACTACTCTCTGAAAGCATAATTGTAGAATGCAGTAATATTGCTCTTAGGGATGAGACTATCATTTTTTAAAGATACTAAATTCAAAATGGTATCAGATTTATAGAATTCCAGAGTATTTTAAAATTAGCATTGACAAGCAAATAAATAGCTATGCATACCAATTATTTCTAGTTACATCAGAAATGAGCTTGATAATGCCATAAATAATCTGGGCTATTACCAATTGATAATGCAGTTATTAGTTCATGATAATACAATTTAGATAGCTCTAAAAATGTGCACTCTATGTTTGCATTCTAGGCGAAGTAAGTTTTATATTTTGTGGTAACAAATTTATCTTTAATTCAGTATCACGAGGGAATGAGGTGCTCCATGTAAGCAATGATATAAGCTTAAGTCTACAGAAATCTACTTAAGATGGAGGAAAAAAACAAGCAAAACTAACTTCTCAATTCTTATTCCTAAGCTCTGTTATTTTAAGTCCTGGTTATTAGATAAGGTTTTCTAAATTTTCAGAGGTACTGCGTGGTTGACAATATTGTAAAACTGTCTATAAATCAGATAATATATTTACTTTTTATATAAACATTAAGACTATTTTTCACATGTGAATACAAAATCAGTATTAAATGTCTGACAATACATGAACAAAATAAAACTCAAGATTATTTACTATCTACTATCAGTAGTAAGCTTAATCACATGTTCCATGTATGCACCAACATCCAAAGGATAGAGGAATTTTTGTATGTGAACTCTTCATTCAATTTTTCAATATTCACGTATTTTTAAAATACCAAATTATAACTAAACACTGTAAGCTCATTTATAATATAACTCTTAAATGAAAGGAATTCTTTCAATTAGTTGTTTTTTCACTGCAGATTTATCCAATCATGGTTAGTGAACATTAGTGATATACTCTACATGTTAAATATAACAGAAAATGAATTATCAAGGCAGCTCACCATGCAGGTTTGATTTTGTAATAAGACCTCCAGCAACAATGGTATTCTGGTATCCTAGTTTCAGTGGAATCAAATCAAATAAAAATCTATTTAAAATCTATAGAACTGAGATCTAGAGCAACAAGAAAATAAGAGCCTATAAAACTGTTACATTATTTCAATGTTCAGAGCATTTTTTTTTTTAAAGGCCTCAATTTCAACAATCCTATTCACAAAGTGACTAGCATATATTTGTAACAACTTTATGGTAAGAATTATTTTTCTTGTCTTACCTTCAAGATCTTCGAGTTCTTTAGGCTTGGCCCAGCGGGATTCTTTTGTTTGAGAATTATAGTAATAAGGCTTTCCAGAATCAGATTTGTACTCTTTCCATGGACATTTAGATAATAGTTGCTAAAGAAGGAAAAAAACTTTCAGTAAATAATAATAAATTCAGCATTGTTGAATATTCAGCATTATTGTTTTATCTACCTGTACAATTTTAGGTACTGTTACATGATGGTAGCAGGCTCTCAATTATTTTCACTCAAGAGGTGATATTATTTGAATATATTATTTAACACTTTAGAGTAACACTGCAAAATTTAGATTAGTCCCCATTAAAGAATGTTACTTGGTGAGAAAAAGTAACCTGTTCAAGATAATATACCTATTAGGAAACAAAGGAAAGATTCAAAACCAGATCTAACAGAAATCTAAATACCGTGAGCTCTTCCACTTACCCTCTATCATAGGTAAAAATTGCCAGGATAACTAGCAAACAGATTTCTTAAATACCAACACAAGACAAATAGAAAATTTGGGTAAAGGCAAAAAGAGATTTATTCATGCTTATGCTTTAGTTTCTTGATCAGTAATTTATTGCTAATGTGAGGAAATAATGAAGATATGACAAAACTAATGTATTAGAGACCAATTTTAAAGTGTCTTCTAACATGCCTACGATTGTGTCTCTGTGCTTATGTATACGTGTGTGTGTACACACATATATGAATGAGAATTTTCAGTAATAATAAATCAGTAACCGGGTAAACAAAGTAGTTTATCTACCAACCTTCCCCCTCAAATACCACTGTGCTTAGATTATTGCAGTGTGTGGGGAGGTGTCACATAAAATATCTTCTCAAATTCCTAAGTTAAAAATGGAATACCATAGGCTAGGGAAAAACTTACAAGAAACTATAGTTCAGTGCTTATATACAGTTCACCTCTTTTGACAAACCAGAGTTTCTAATTAAAACAGAGGCAATACTATTTGTTCAATTTATTGCTTCAACCTTAACTTTAATTTGTGTATTTTGAATAGTGAAATAAACGTGCAAGCAACACAAAGTAAAATGAAAATACCTTTTCAGAGGAATTTGCCACAAAGAAAAAATTTACTACCCTAAGAAAAGACAGCACTTTGTAGGTAATTTAACTTAATTTCCAGTATATTAAACCCAATGGTTACTCAACTATTTACAAATTTTCAAAAATCATCCCAATCATACTATAAGCAAAAAATTATTTTCCCCCTTCAATTTATTCTTTACATCATCTTTCAACACAAAAATAAAGTCTGTATACAGGATATCAAAGCTGATTACTGTAACTTTATTTTTTGCGTTTTTTGTATGTGTTTATGAATGTATTGCCTACATGCATATAAGTACACCCATGTCGCACAATGCTCATGCATGTCAGAAGAGGGTTTTGAATCCCCTGGAACTGGAGTTATGGATGGTTGTTGGCCACCACATGGGTGCTGAGAACTCAACCCAGGTCCTCTGCAAGATCAGCCAGTGCTCTTAACCATTGGGCCATCTCTCCGGCTCCCTGGAACTTTATTAAACCTCTCTATTGATTTCTTTATAACCCTCTTGTGACTCTTAAGTATAATTGCTCTTTAAGGAGCTTAATATAAAATTCTAGGAAATATATCCCATTTCCCTCAACAGTCCTGATTTCTGGCCCTCAAACTTTTACCTCAGCAGGTGTTTTAAGATCATCTGGTTTTTCCCAGGTAGACTGTTTTGTTTCTGTATTGTAGTAGTAAGTCCTTCCATCAGGTGATTTATGTTCTGTCCACATTGATTTCTAAGGGAGAAAAAAATTATTGAAGACATAAATTATTTAACAATGCTATTGACAGTAAATATCTGTATCCTGAGATTCAAGGTAACAAGTGCATGAAATATCAAAATTTAAGTTTAAAACTAGTATACTTTAACTTTGAATTTTTTGCATAGGCAATCATCCAGCAATTCAAACCTATGCCTAAATATATAAATGCATAGATTGTGTACTTATCTAGTCTAAATCCCCTACCCCCCAAAAAGGACAAGTAATTGGACAAAGTTCTAAACTATGTATATATGCTGATCTCAAAACCAGAAAAAAATTCGATCATTTACTTCAAAAACCAGTCAGATGAAATTTAACAGGAAAAAGTGAAGCCAGATGAAATTTAATGGAAAAAAAATCCGAATCCAAATGCTTCAAAATAAGACACATGAGATAGAATTTCGAGTTGGATTAAATGTAAATCTACTAAAACTTACTAATGAAACTGCAGGCATTAATATACATGACACTTTAATGTCTGAAAGTATTATAAATTACCTTATCATGAATGAATGAATGGTTTGATGATGTCCAAGCAGTGGACCTGTTACTGCCACTGTTTTTTTTTTAATATGGTAATAAATTTAACCATGAATTAAAAGGGCTTCACACTGATCTATACTCTATTTCTTTAAATCTAAGATGCGATAATTATATACACTTCTAACTAAGGAAGAAAATATAATCTCTACCACCTGCTTTTTTACCAGTAAGATTTTGCGTTAAACTTTTTCACAAAGTTATTCCTCAGATTTAAGTTTTTTATCATGTATCAATTCTGTGCTTGCATAAAAAGGAAAACAAAGTCCTCAAAGTATTCCTTAAATTTCTTTACAGTAAAACCATTAAAAAAAAAATCAATTGCTCTTGTCAATTATAGTACAAACAGTATTTCCTCTAGGGCATCAGTAATACAGCTAAAATACATTTTTTTAAATCACAAAATAAGTGAGGAGTGAACCTCCATGCCTATAGATTTCCACAGAGTTTACCACAGAGATTGAGAGCTCTGAGCTTATGAACTGCTGATTTCTAGACCTCCAGAGACACTACCCTATTCTATCACCTGTGGTTTACTGCTAGGTCCAGTGGCTTGGTCAGTTTCAGCAGCTTCCTCTCTCCCAGAGTAGTTTATTGCTGAGTGGGGTCAGAAAATGCTCAGATCTATAGGCAAAATGACCAATTATCTCTGTTCACCCTTTCCAATGAAGAACAGTGCTCTCATGGCTTCTTCCATTGAGGCACTTAGGAGTCATCACTTGGCTTGAATTCTGTTGGCCTGAGTACACTAAGTTGCCTCACAGCTCTTTGGGGACAGCAGCTAAACCTGAATCCTAATAAAGAAAACAAACTTTTAAAGTACATACAGCCTTGCCACTGCTGACAACAGACCTTTGACAGGTCTGGCCCTCAGTCCACATACCATCAACCTATATGGGGGAACAAAGAGGAAATACAAAGCACCCAGCAACCCTCCCCTCCCTTCAGACCTGGGAAAAAAATGATCATTCCAAGTTCTAGGTTGGGCTATCTGGGCTACATTATGGGTGAACCCACCCTAATACAATATTAATCAATGATTTCAAAAGGGGTTTAAATAAAGAGGTCCACTGATTTAACTGATGAGATTTTCAACAAAGAGATTTTGAAAAAAAAATGCAAATGGCAATCTTAGACTGATCTACAGATCAAATGAAAACTCAATGGAAAGGATCACCAGGCTGAAGAAAAAAAATACCAGGGATTGAAGAAATGTTTCTGAAATTACTAAATTCAGACATCAATAAACAACAACAACAAAAACCAAGACAGTCATGATGATATTTGAGTCCTCTGGGACATGATTAAGACACCAAAACTAGAAACCTTGGTGCAGAAGACTAAAGGCACAGAAAATTATTCAATGAATATACACTGAGAATTTCCCAATTTTTTCTTTCTTTTTTTTGGGGGGGGGGTCTTTTTGAGATAGGGTCTCTCTGTAGCTCCAGCTGTCCTGGAACTCACTATGTAGACCAGGCTGGCCTTGAACTCACAGAGATCCGCCTGCCTCTGCCTCCCCGAGTGCTGGGATTAAAGGAGTGCGCCACCACGCCTGGTAAGAATTTCCCAATTTTAGGGGAAAAATGGATACTTAAGGACAGGAGGAATTTAGAACTCAGCTGTGGCCAGAACAGAACCTCTTCATATCACATTGTAGTTAAAATGTTCAGTCTAGAACAATGGAAGAATACTTAAAGCAGAAAGCAGTAAGAAAGGAGCACTTGCAAAAGCAAACCTATATGAGTTAACAGTAGATCTCTCAGCAGAAGCCCTAAAGGCCAGGAGACTGCAGACTAGTATGTTTCTAGGACAGAACAAAGTAATTCCTAACAGATTATCATATCCAGTAAAGTTGTCATTTAAAACCAGAGAATTAAACCTTCTATGATCATCATAAATTAAAGCACTTTATGACCACTAAGTCAGAATTATAAAAAGATACTTAAAAGAAAAGAAATACTAGACACAGTAGAGTCAGGCATATACAATGAGGGCTTGATTTAAAACAAAAAACAAACAAAAAAAAAACCTCACTAGAACCAGTGAACAAATGAGAATTAGCAAACAGTCAAGCATCATTAAGCCAGACAAATAGCCAAAATGAAGAATGTTGAAATTAGTGTATATATTTTTCAATAATTCAAACATGAACTGTTTTAACTCTCTAATTAAAAGATGCAGGCTGGCTAGGTGTGGTGGTACACGCCTTCAACCCCAGCCCTTGGGAGGCAGAGCCAGGCCTATTTGTTGAGATCAAGGCTAGCCTGGTCTACAAGGAAAGTTCCAAGCAGCTGTGTCTCAAAAGAAAAAAACAACAAAACGAGAGAGAGAGAGAGAGAGAGAGAGAGAGAGAGAGAGAGAGAGAGAGAGAGCGCTAAAAAGATTAAGATCAGGGGCTGGAGGGATGTCTCAGTGATTAAGAGTATGTATTACTCCTGCAGAGGACCTGACTTTAGTTCCTAGCATCCACATCGGGTGGCTGTTTTTAATTCTAGCTCCCAAATTAAGATCCTGTCTATAAGCAACTCAGCAAAGTGCTGGAGTACAAAAATCAAAATACAAAAATTTGTAGCTTTTCTATATACTAATAATGAACCAAGAAATAAATCAGGAAAGCAGTAACTCAAATAATAATACTTAGAAAATACATCCAAAGAGTTGAAAGACCCCAATAACGAAAATTTTAAAACACCGACGAAAGAACTGAAGACACAAGAAAACTAAGAGCTTATATATTCATAGTTTAGCAGAATTAGTATTATGGAAATTGCTATTTTACAAAAAGCAACCTATAGCTTGAATACATCCCCATCAAAATTTGAAAGAAATTCTTCAAAGGACTGGAAGAATTCTTAAATTCACATGAATGTATAACCAACAAATAACCAAAGCAATCTTCAAGACAAGGAGTATGCTGCAGGCTTAACGACAGCTAACTTCAAATTATACTACATAGCCATAATAAAACCCAGCAAAATACAAAGTGAAAACCAAACACATTACCATATTAGCTAGCTTTCCGTATCTGTGACAAGATACCTGACAGGACAACTTATAATATTCATTATTTACCAAAGATTTACTTTGGTTCAAAGTTCCAAAGGGTTCAAACCATCATGGCAGGGTGGAGCAAGAAGCAGAGAAGGCAAAACTGGCATCCTCCAGCATCTGCCCTTTTATTTTATCTGGGATTCTAGCCTATGGCTCAGTGTCCTACAAATCCTGGGTCAATCTTCTTTCTTTCGGTTCATTCTCTGGAAAATTTCTCAGACACACCTAGATGTATGCCTTATCAATGCCCCAGGTGAGTCTCCATAAAGCCAAGTTGACAATGAAAGTACCACACCAACCAAAGAAATAGGGAACAGGAATAAACTCATGAATATACAGTTATTTGATTTCATGACTATGTCAAAAATATACTCTGGAAATATTAGTTTCAACAAAAGCTACTAGAAAGACTGGATATTCACTCACAGAAGTAAACTAGATCTCATTCTCTCTGTGTAAAAAAACCACATCAATTCAAAGTGGATCAAAGGCCTCAATGTTGAGTGAGTCCTGAGATGCTAAAAGTGCTAGAACACTTCAAGATATAGGCATAGGCAATGACTTTCTGAATAGAACTAACCTAGGAAATAATACAAGAACTGACAAATCAGATTAAAGCAAATTAAAAACTGAAGCAATGGAGAAAAATTTGGCAAAAAGATTTAAAATATCTACAATGAGCATGTAGAGACTTTATAGTCTTGTAATTATTCTATAATCCACAGTGTAACAATTTAAGTCTTATATATTAAGTTTATGAGTAATCAAGCCAGTGAATATCCTTAGGTTTTAAGCATTTCTTTTTCTTGTCACAACACTGACTGAAGTAAACAGCACAAGTTGCTCCCTCACCCAAAAGCAGTGTTTTTATTCTGCCCCTTCTTAATGACTCAATGGGTCACTAGCAAAAGGCCCACTGACTGCTTTTAAAAGGGGACTATTTTAAGCAATTTATAAAAGGGACTTATTTTGGCATCTTTGGACTTAATATTCACTGTGGCATCTTAGAAACCCCCCCCCAATGGACACAGAAAGTTGCATTAAAAAAATAATAAACAAACCCCTTTAAGACTGCATGCCTACAATCGCAGTACTTGAATTTAACCATAAAATGTGCTACACAGATACTATAGTCCTTATTGAGCTGCCTCAAAAAACAAAAACCAGGCTGGGCGCATGCCTTTAATCCCAGCACTCAGGAGGCAGCACTCAGGAGGCAGAGGCAGGCGGATCTCTGTGAGTTCAAGGCCAGCCTGGTCTACATAGTGAGTTCCAGGACAGCTGGGGCTACAGGGAAACCCTGTCCCAAGAAGACCAAAAAAAAAAACCCCAAAACCAAAGCCTAAATTCTACTTTAACCTTCCCCAGCTTCACCTCTTTCTTCCTCCCTAGCCATGACTTGCTCTAAAATACTTCTCTTGCACTCACACACAAGTAATGTCTTCTATCATGCTATTAGGTAGCCAGTTGGCCCTAACCACAGGCCAAACTGATAGAGTAGGCTGATCTTGGACAGTCAGCCTCTAAAACTGTGTAAAGTTAATTTCTTTTCTTGACTTTTTGGGGGGTGGGCATGTTGTGCTCATATCCCTGCATATGCAGATATTATCCAGAGGACTTCTGATGTCTCAGATCACTCTCTGCCTTATTTCCTTGAGACAAGGTGTCCTACTGAACCAGAAGCTTGCCACTTTTTCGCTAGGCCGGCTCCCCAGTGAGTTCTCAGGATCTACCTGTCTCTGCCCCCAATGCTGAGGCTACTGGCCTATGCAGCCATGCCTGGCTTTTACATGGGTGCTGGAGATGTGAATTTATGTCTTCATGCCTGTAGAATAAGCCCTCTTATCTATTTCCCCAGTTCCAAGAATGACTTTTCTTTAAAAAAATACTGACTTTGGTATTTTATTACAGTCACACAAAAATTAGATAATTTCTCTAATTCTCATCAAAATTAGATTTTATTCAACATGTGGCATGGCAGACTAGCAAATTATCTTTAGAAAACAAGGATCAATACAGCATGTTTAAGAAACATAATGAAGTATAAAACTGCTCAAATAGTACTTACTGCTCCAGATGCTGCACCTAAAAGACAAAATACAGTGGTAAATGATGTGCTCAACAGTTCCAGTATTTATTCTTACTATTTGTTCCTCTCCATCCTTACTAAATCTTATGGGGTACCCATCCCATTTAACCTATCCGTTCCCATTCCCACAGATAGATATCTGTAGTACAAAGCGTTTTCAGAACTTTAACTTTCAATCTCCAATTATTTGTGAACCATCAGTTTGAGAAATATTATGGTTGTCAATCTCACCTAAATTCCTTTCTTTGTTATATATGCTAACAAAGTACACTAACACCTCTGGTCTCTAACCCTTGCCAACCGCAATCATTTTGCTCCCATGTAGGCACATGTACAGCACAGAACACCTGAAGCACCACATGCTCTTGCCTAAAAATTTAAGTCAAGATTAAACAACTTTTTAAAAAAGACTGGTTCCACTACCCTACTAGCCACATTTAAAATACAATAATTACATATGGTTAGTAGCAACTGTATTTGATAGTACAGCTTATACAACATTTCCACCACTGCAGAAAGGTGTATTAGTGTTGTCTTCTATGACCACACACAATCCTTTAAGATTAAGTGATTTTCAAATGTTTGTTAGTCACAAAGCTCATAAAAATAATGTCCAGCTGTAGAAACTAGTTAACTTAAAACTAAAAGTAAAATAAAACAAAAACTTTTAAACAAAAAAGATTCACATTATGGAGAATCCTCAACCTACTATGGATATCAATGGTTAAGAGCCAAAGCATTTTAAATGTAATAAAAAAGGGCTGGAGAGATGACTCAGCAGTTAAGAACAAGTACTGCTCTTGTAGAGGACCTGAGTTCAGTTCCCAGCCACAAATCAGTTGGTTTATAGGTAAGTACCCATAACTCCAGTTTGTGTGATCCAGTGCTTCTGGATTCATAGGCACCTGCCTTCATGTGCACATACCATACCCCCTACACATTTTAAAATTAAAAATTTTTAAATTAATGTAATTCTTAAATTTAATTGGGTAACATAACCCAAACTCTAGATATCTAAATAGGATTACAGAAATTATATTAATTCAGACCATTGCTGTAGTTCAAATAAATAATCAAATTATAAAATATTTTAAGAAAAACCTAGCATACCCCATACAAAAATACAGGAAGGCACATATGTCTCAAACATGTTTCAAGCATGTTTAGAACAAAACACGAATGTTTTGGCATAATAAGGGGACAAATGTTGAGCATCTAGATACTGATTTATGTGGACACTACTTATGGAAAACTGAGGTACTACTATTACATATAAAAGCTTTCTTAGTCAAAATGAGCAGATATAGAAAAAAAAATAATTAGAATAGGGCTTATAGATTCTAATGACTACAAAGAACAAAGAAGTAGCCTAGATTCAAGGACAGAGTAAATGCTCTCCATCTAATGTGTGGGGATGCTATCCTTTCTCAAGTGTGCTGAGTATAAATATGGACTCAAATAGAGCTCACGTATTGTACAAATATTTTCTGAGCACTTACTATGTTGACAAGACTGTTAAGCGCTGAAAATCAGATCAACAACTGTTTGAATACAAATTCTAGATTTTTAATAGTAGTTACAAAATGTAAAATTATGGGATAACAAAGCCTATTTGCACAATACATCTGAATTAGGACTTCAGTTATAAATGTTATCTTTATTATTAGAAATTGAGAAAACATTAGGAACTGGTATTAAAGGTCCAGAGACAGTAGTTTTATTCCTTGTGGTAATATGGCTACAACTTTCCAAATGAAGACCACCATAAACGTATATACATACCTGCTGCTACATCCATACTATTTACTCCAGGCTGTAAGAAGAAAAATAAAATTACAAATATTCATCTCATTTGAACTCATTTTATAGAAATTACTCATAAAACAAATGAATCAGTCCCTTCTATGTATTATTATTAAGCCACTAACTCAAAGACTGGAAAAGTTTTAGTGGTTTCATGATTCAAGTTTGCTATACATTTTGAGATCAACAAGTCAGGGTTACTTAAGTATTTTAATAAGTTACACAATCATCACTTGCACAGAACCACAAACTTTTTCCCCTTAAATCAGAAATCTACAAAGCTCTGAAATTCAAGTCTTTATCAATTAAGCAACCAGTGAAAAAACTTGTCATGTGAACTTGTGGCAATGGTGGTCTCCAGCACAAGAACCATGACAACAAGGGCCCAGTGTTGGAGCAAGGAAAATGGGTGGCAGGCTGGCTCTAGCCTGGGAACTGTTGGAAATGGATTACTGCTGTGTGAGGTAGAGTAGCTCTGCCTTAAGATCTATAGACAGGCTGGCTAGACCCCAGTGGATGAATTTGCACAAGTGTATGAACACTTGATTGGATGGAACTTAATATGTATGGTGGAATACGTGGGTCTGGAGGGGAGGAATGTGGGAGGGGGCATGGACGGGGGGTCTAAGTTTGATTAAGAAGTGTCACGTATGGTGGAATACGTGGGTCTGGAGGGGGGGGAATGTGGTTGGATGGAACTTAATATGTATGGTGGAATACGTGGGTCTGGAGGGGAGGAATGTGGGAGGGGGTATGGATGGGGGGTCTAAGTTTGATTAAGAAGTGTCACATGTAATGTACAGAAGTTCAATAAAAATATTTTTTTTTAATTTGTTGTGAATTAATTATGAAACTATTTATCATACTTAGGAGTAAACAACTGCTTTACCAGTGAAATACCAACATGTTAGAAATTAATAGGGCTCTGACCCAGACTCCACAGGCTATTTTTGCACTATAGTGTTTACAAGTGTTAGTAAATATACTAGCGTGATAAAAATACTGAAAACTTACTACCCCAAGTGAGTATGTCGTATCTGTTCATTACAGCCAGTAGTCTCTCAAGAAATAAGTTCAACTAATTTAATATTATAGTCATTTATATATCACTGTACTACTTACCTAATTAGGACAATGTCTATTCAAGGGATTGCTAGGTAAGTTGCAACAGCTGAAGTCTCAATGAAATAGGGATTTCAAATTAAGTCGTCTTATTTGTGAATCCAGTATTAGTTTTTAACTAGCATGCATTAAGAAAATGTCACTTTTGAAAATGTTATCAACTACTAAAATGGTTTTTACTCACAAATTGTTTTTCAGTGTTCTGGTCTTGTTTAATACAGAATTAATTTATTCACTAAGCATGTATGAATGCATGCTATAATGCTAATATTGGAAAATATAAATGTTTATTCATTTTATGAAAACTAAATTAGACTATTTTTCCATATTACATTTTCATATTTGAGAGGTCTATAAAGTACATACACATTATTATTTATTGAAAGTATTCAGAGAAAATAGCTATTTTTTTTAAGATTACCGGTAAGGCAGGTTGCATGGAAGCCTGAGACATATGAGACATCATCATTCCTGGCATTACTGAAGACATCATTCCAGGCATCTAAAATAAAAATAAAATAAAATAAAATAAAAGGTTACCATGTAAGACCAAAACACTTCACCATCACTTTATCACTTTAAGTATCATACAACTTAAGAATAAAAACCACTGAAACTATGCTACTATACTATATGGAGAGTATGTTTAGTAAGTGCTTGTTCAATGAATGAAGAATGAAATACGTTATCAATGGTCCTGATCCGATGCAATTCATATATCTGGTCAAAATTACTTTTAACAAGTATATTTTAAAAGTATGGAATGTTACATTATTCTAACTCAGACTTGAAAATATTAACTTCATTTTATTTTTTGATTCAAGACTTTTTCTTCTTTCTTCGGAACAAGAGAATCTAAGATAAAATATTTCTTAACATTTTCACCTTTGATTCTTAATCTGTACTGAATAAATTTTATAGCACTCTGGTCCTTTTCAAAATAGTAGATCAAAGATGCTTGAAATCTAAACGCTGATTTAAAAATGTTAACACTTTTGATTGTAGGTGAGTACAGAAAAGTATATAAATACCTGAAAATGCTAGGTCTGAGATTTCAATCTAGTCTGTCAAGACTGCCATTAAAATCTAGGAATAATTACTAAGTATGAATAGAAATCATGAAGCTTTATATTCCATAGGATTTGAAATGTTCATCTGTATAACAAAACATATACTCCCACATTAGAATTTTGACTTATGTAAGTATCAAAAGTGTCTAAGGAAACTTGTAGGCAGACAGAAATAGCAATGATCATAGGTACGGTGACAAGGTAACTGGTTATTGTTTGAAGGTAAATGAACAATTTAGCAAACAGGAACAACAAAAATAGAAACATTAGTCAATAGGAACACATAATAAAACCCACTAACGCGAGACAAGAACATCTATGCTCAATTTCATTACTTGTAAAAACTCACAAAGCAAAATATGGCTACAGTAGCTATGAACGGTCATAAAGTTAACACATAAAAAAACAACCAATAAATTTATACTTTTGACAGAAATTAGATTTAGAGGAATGTAACGGACTACTACTTAGATTACATGGTGGTCAAAATAATATTTCTTTAAAAAGCATAGCATTTGAAAACAGAAGCATGAAAGTCCCCATGACCATATTAAGAAATTTAAAAAATGTATTAATATCATAAGTAAACAAGGTGTGATGGATAGCTTTAGTGTCAACTTGACACACCTGGGTTGAGGGAGCCTCAGTTGGGGAATTGCCTCTATTGGACTGGCCTGTGGCCATGTCTGAAGGGCATCTTCTTGATGAGTAATGTGGGAGGGCCCAGCCCACTGTGGGTGGTGCCACCCCTGGGCAGGTGGGCCTGTGTTGCATAAGAAAGCAGGCTGAGCAGGGGCCAAGAGAGCAAGCTTGTAAGCAGCGTTCCTCCATGGCCTGTGCTCCAGCTTCTGCCTCCAGGTTCCTGCCCTGAGTTCCTACCTTGGGCTCCCTGATGAACTGCGTGCGACCTGGGAGATGTAAGACAAATAAACGCTTTCCTCCCCAAGTTGGTACTGGTCAGAGTGTTTTGTCACAGCAATGAAGAACAAACTAGGACACAAACAAGGCTTGCTCTCCAAACCACATACCGACAGGTTATTTTACAGCTGTGCTTTAGGTACACAAAAATAAATTGTACCAGATCATGAAGCATCCCCCAAGCACAGTGGATAACAGAGAAACAAAGTCTATCACCTAAAATGGCCTATTTATAAATAAAAAACTAGTACCATATCCCAGACTAGAAATCCTAATTTCAGAAATCAAAGTTTGAAAACATAAGAGAAAAATAACAGTTTCTCCTAAGAATAAAATGTACTTTAGGTTAAGAGAATATTCCCTTCACGGTTTTAGTAGATTGGGCAAATTAATACTTGAGTTGAAATATTCTGACTTTATAACAAAAACGTAAATATTTTGACACAGAGATACAAAGTCACAAACTTCCATAATACATATGCAAAATTTTAGTCCAAGTCAATGAGACATACTCTTAAAGAACACTTTGAGAGTTATTTCTCTCATTGTCCTTCCAGTATCTCAAACTTTAAAATATCTCAAAATTTTTCTTCAGAGTGGAATTCACAGCAACAAGTTACAGAATAAGACTCAGTAGCAAATAAAAAGTTATAATCTCCCTCAGCATTTTCTGTAAAGCCTGGAAGGAGACTAGTAATACTTTTACCTGACAACTTATCTGTGAGATTTTTAAATTTTGTGCAACTAATTTTATGCAATTAAATTCTCTAAAAGTAGATCATTAGGTAATTTTAAAAGAAAATTGATATATGAAACTAAAGAAAACGGATATCTACCAATGTGCAAGACACTGTACTTCATATGAAAAACATAAAAATTTAACAAATTTAAGAGTTCTCAAGGATTTGAACATCATAGAAAGACACATGTACCTAAATCTGCATAATCTACTTTGGAAAAGTTACAATGATTCCTATTTCTATTAATTATTTCTCTTTTTTTGGTCTTTTTGAGTCAGCGTCTCCCTCTATCCCCAGGTGGCTTGAGATCACAGAGATCGACCTGCCTTTATCTCCTAAGTGCTGGGATCAAAAGGGTGTGCCACAAAGCCCAGCTATTTCTATTAATTCTAAGACACATAACACGGAAGTATATTTTACATCTTCTGTCTTTGGTAAATTTTTTCAGAGAAGTTGGAGAAACAGTCCAGTTACTTCACAGCACCACCAATTTGAGAATACATTTTTATATTACCTATTCTCTTTTTGTTTTGACATGATAATGTTAATGGGGAATGAATCTAGGCTGTAAACATAAAAGCAGCAGCTTGTGTTTTAAATCCTCAGAAATTATTTCTCTTATTTCCCAAACCAAAATTGACATAGTCAAGTTTTTTTTCCTGTCTTCTGGCACAGTAAGTTACTTTTTTGCTTCACATAAAGGGTACAGTCAGCCAACTGTAAAGTCTTTGAGATTTCCTATTTGGGATCCCCACTCCCCCACTACCTTATTCTGATACGCTTAAAGTTCAATGAAATGGCATGTTGGTTTAAAAAGTTAAAAAGTAAAAATTTTTTTTTTTTTTTTTTTGTTATGTGTATGAGTGAAAAGCCTTCGTGTGTTTAAGTGCACCATGTCATGCAACGCCTACAGAGATAAAAAAGCTCTCAATTCCCCTGGAACTGGAATTACGCTACCATGTGGGTGCTGGAAATTGAACCGAGGTTATCTGTAGGAACAGTAAATGCGCTTAACTGCTGAGTCATCTCTGCAGCCCAGAAATAAAATTTAATTGCTATACTAATGCCACAGAAATTTCTTGAATCACATCATTTCTAAGGCTAATGGCAGTTCATGTTGGCTTAAACCATATTATAAAAATCAAAGCATGTATTACTTTTTACAAATTTTCACTTCAAATACTTTGGCAAATATGTAAAGTACTCTCAATAGAATTTTTAGTTGTTAGGATCAGAGATGGAGAGTTTGGGAAACACGAAAACTAAGAAGTAAATTAAATCTCCTGAAATAAACACCTGAATTTTATGGGTACTTTGGGATCTTTCAAAAACATCTCAAATGGGGCTGGAGAGGTGGCTCAGTGGTTAACAGCACTGACTGCTCTTGCAGAGGACATGGGTTTGATTCCCAGCACCCACATGGAGGCTATGAACCATCCTTAACTCCAGTTCCAGGGGAATCCGAAGCCCTCTTCTGACGTCTGTGGCATTGCACAACACGGGTGTACTCACATACATGCAGGCGATACACTCATACACATAAAATAAAAATAATAAAATATATTAAAAAATACTGTCTCCTCAAAACAAAACAAACAAAACAGCAACAACAAAGTCTCAAACGACCTTAAGAGTAAAAATAAACGGGTTTATCTGGGCCAACTATATGGTCTTAAACACCCAAAAGGAAAGTTTAACAAAAGATTAAAGGGATCAATATGATTCTTTAAGAGTCCATGTGTGTAGCTAAAGGCTACATAACAAGAACCAATTCCAGACAGGAGCTACTTTCCTTTGAGTTGTTGGTCAGGGTGTCCCAAGTGACTCCCAGACAGTAATCCAGCATAGAACTGGGAAAATGAACAATCTTATCTAAAGGAATGTTAGCAACTGATTGCAGCTAGATGAGGAAGAGTTAATCTTCCTAAAATAATTTTGGGTCGGCGACAACCCAGTGGACAGTAACAGGGATGACAGTGTATATGGGCTCAAGTGGGGGGGGCTATAGGAGGGTGCCATTTGGGATGTGGTATATAGATGAATAAGACTGGGATGTTCTGTATGAAATACACACACATACACATCAACAAATAAAAAAAAATGAGTTGTATTTGAGGAAGAACCATAAAAATTTGCTTCATGTTAATTAGAGGTGAAAAACATTACCACTGAAATCTACCTGATGATTTTATATCCATGCTCAGAGGCCAAGGATTTTAGAAAGTAACTGACTGTGACTAGTAATAATCAGATACATAAAAACTAGAGACGCATATGCAAACATTTAAGTGTTAGTAGCATTAAAAATGTGTTTTCTGTACAAAACTGTATTTTAAAATGAAATGGAGATCTTTTTCAAAGATTAAAACCTCATTCAATTTTATGTCTTACAGGGTTTATACTGAGTTCAATATTGTAAAACTGTATTAATTCAACTGTGAACCTAAAATTTACAGCCAATATTGAAAGAGATGCATCTTTGCTCTGGAAATTGTTATTGAATATGTTAATTCTGTAATGAAATGCTTCTTCTAATCATGTGGCTATTAAATAAATAATTTTTTTAAAGTCTGGTTTCTTACTTTCAACTGTGAACCTAAAAGTTTACAGCCAATTTTGAAAGAGATGCATCTTTATCCTGGAAATTGTTATTGAATATGCTAATGCTGTAATGAAATGCTTCTTTTACGTGGTTATTAAATAAATAATTAAAAAAATAAAAATTCTGGGTCTGAAGAGAAAAAAAACGTAACTGATCTATTTTATAAAGAAGT